GGGCGAGCGAGCCATGCAGACGGCCGGGCCTCCCTGCAGTCTTCCTCCTGCCTCGCTTTTCTCCATCCTCTCTGCCACGGCTGCATGATAGGTTCGGGTATATTTATTGCTGTCCTGTCACAGTCAGGACTGTGCTTCACTCCTCCAGTGTCACCTGCCTTACTTCTGTGGCACTTGGCCTTATGCCATAATGTTTTCCATCTCCCACACTCCTTGTGAATGTTTCCTGTTCCTCCAATGAATGCCCTCTGGATTCCAGTTTAGGAAACAATTGGTCATTTCCCATGGACACATTTATATTTGATCCATCTTGCCATGTTGTCCCTATCACTTGGAATGGTAGCTTCCAGCCTTGGTTATGCCTTAAAATTACCTTTAGAGTGTCTTGCGGCTGTACCTTACAGCCCCCAACCCTGTCACATTTAACGTCTGTGAGTACAGCTGGTTCCAGAACTCAGTGCAGGAAAATTTGTGTGTTGTGGGGCATGCATACGTATCAGAAAGTGAGAAATCAGACTGAGAAAAAGACCGCCAACCATAATGAAACAAATAAATAATATACATAGGAAGTCCAGCATCGTGTACAGGGGACAGTTCTGAGTAGGTTGCCAGTATTGAACAGTGGCGTTTCTAAAAACCAGCCTTCAAAGAATTACACAGCTGCCCTTTCAAGATGTAACCCCTTAATATGTGCATGTCCACAGAACACCAGGGAAAAAAAAGTGACTGCTTTTGAAATGGGGCCACCTCTGAAATATATTGTGTGGCTGTGAATGAATTACTTTACATCTATCCATTTCTCTTGAAAATGATAATTATAATTGAAATATCATCTCAAAAGCTGCATGAAGATGAAATTTATTCACCCATGTGACATTTGCTGTTGTAGTACTGTGCTAAGACTTGCTGTGACAAGTGTTGTCAATGAAGTGTTAGTTATGCATATTTTAGTAATCTAATGAGTGGTACATGGTCATAATCCCAGCTCTCAGGAAGCTATGGTAGGAAGATCCTGGTTTCTAGACATGCTTAGATGATGCTGGGCTTGGGGTAGACAGCAAGACCTTATCTCACAAACACATGAGGAAATTTTAAGGCTGTAATTCAAAATACTTTTCTATTCAACTGTCTCCAAATAGTTTCAATTATCCCTCTTAAAAATGACATATTTGTTAAAGAGAAGAAACAGTTACTGAAAAGTTTGTGGTTTGGTTTGGTTTTGGTTTTTTGAGACAGGGTTTCTCTATGTAGCTTTGACCAGGCTGGCATGGAATTCACAGAGATCAGCCTACCTCGGCCTCCCAAATGCTGGGATTAAAGGTGTGTGCCACCACCACCCAACCCTACTGATAAGTTTTTAAAATATTAACTTCCCACTAAGAGCCAAGGTCTTTGAATTCTTCATAGTAACTAGTGATATAATTTTTCTGTATCCTTCTAATTCCTTGCAGCCCTTTTATACCATTTGATAAAAACAAGTTGTTAAAATTTCAGCTTCCCAGTACAACTGTTAAGAAAAGAAAAACTTAAGTAGGCCTCCCCAAATGTTCTTGGCTGGTTGCATTTCACGTTGAAAAAATGACTATAAATAAGCACTATTGGAATTTAACAGCATGGCGGACATTAGTGTCTGGAGGGACTGCTGTGGATGCAGTTGAGAATGGCTGTGCTGTCTGTGAGACAGAGCGGTGTGAAGGCACTGTAGGCTTTGGAGGAAGTCCTGATGAAGTTGGGGAGACCACCCTGGACGCCATGATCATGGATGGGTAAGAATACTCTTCAGGACTTGTTTTGGTGCTTTCGTGGTGGGCTTATGAATTAGTGTGGCCACTCTTTGTTTGTAGAACTTGTCTTTTCTAAACACAGAGTTAACAAAAAGAAGGTAGGAGAGAGGGAAGGAAGGAAGGAAGGAAGGAAGACCAAACTGTCACCTTAATTAGATTATCACAGCAAAGTTAAGTGGTTAAGTAGCTTTGACTGATGAGAGCCCCAAAATACAAAACTGTGCCCCTGACTCAGTAATTTACATACTGCCTGCAAATGCTGTGGTTTCAGTGACCTGAAGCCTAAGGGCCTCTTTTAAAAGCCATGTTTAAAATAAGGAGTTGAGATAGTCAGTAAATTGGCTTTCTGTTCTTTAATTTTGTCTGTGGGAATCCATGAACTTTATGGGTTGTTTTCACAGCTGTGGTAAGATGGAGTTTAGCCTTCAACATGTTGCTGCTTAGAGAGATGCAGTTTTTCTGTTCAAGCACCAAGAGAAAATAATCAATCTTCCGGCATTGTTGCCTTACAGCGCCACCATGAATGTGGGAGCAGTGGGAGACCTCAGAAGAATTAAAAATGCCATCGGAGTGGCACGGAGAGTCCTGGACCACACAACACACACGCTTTTAGTAGGGGACTCAGGTATTTTGAAAACTACTTTTTGTGGATACTCAGTGTAAAAAAAAAAAAGAAAAAGAAAAAAAAAGAACTCAATGTGAAGTAGAAATCAAAGGAGACCCAAGTTCAAATTACACCGTTTTATTTCATCTCTGGTTAACTGGATAGGTTACTGCTAAATCTTGCTTTGTCTCTAAGACTGCATTTTAAGCAATCCGTTGTCATCTGTCCAGCTGCTGCTAGTAAAGCAGGGTTCACCATCGGTTTTCGTCCTAAAGCATTTCTGCAGGTATTAAGCAGGAGTACTGCCTATATGATAAAGTAATGCCAACAGGAGATTCCTGTGACAGTGTCACGTGAGTCCTTTCCAAGTTCCAATGCAAAATCATAGAGTCACCCATGATAAAAAAAATTATATTAATAATATGTTTATGAATCAACCTTGGTAGGCTTGGGATAGAATTACAGACTCTCCGAAAAGGATATGTTGTGGTCTTTGGAATCCATTTGTCTATCTGGTTCTTTTCACACTAGTCAGAGCAGTAGAATTCTGTGTAGATGTGAGATGTGTGCTATGAAAGGCTGCGGTTTCTGCAGGGTAGAAGCGAGAGACGGTGGAAGTGAGACAGTAGCAGAAATGGGCACATAGCCCAACAGGTCTGGGATAGAAAGGACAAAGGGAAGCTGCAAATTCAGCAATCAGTCCCTGTATGTCCAAAAATTCCTTTAAAAGCCTTGTGTGCTGCCCTCCTCATATATCTTTCCATATCTCACGTGAGAGACAGCTGACCCAGAATGCCTCTAGTACATGATTTTGCTTAGAAAGGAAAAAAAAAAAATGCATGAACTTACACTTTTCTCTTTCATCTCCAGCCACCAACTTTGCTGAAAGCATGGGGTTTACCGTTGAAGATTTGTCTACCACCACCTCAAAAAGTCTTCATTCAGAGTGGGCTTCTAAGAATTGCCAGCCAAATTTTTGGAGAGTATGTATGCAAATTTGACTTTAAAAAGTAAATTGAAAATGCTTAGTGATCCCTGGGGTTAATGACTTTGGCTGTCTGTCAGTAACTAGTAAACTCAAAGTTTGCTGTGAAGAAAGGAACAGATTCTAATAACACTGTTTCACTTATATTCTCTTGGAACAAAATCTAAAATGTTTCTTAGATACTATCCATGTGAAGTATATTCAGAATGTTGCTCATATAATTGACTAGAAGACTTAAATAGGTGTCTAGTTTGTCACTAGTGGGATCAGTGTTCTTTACTAGGAATTTTACCATAAATCAGCTTGATGTTGCCACACAGATTTCTTTTCTGTAATATCTTAGTCTCTAATCTGTTTCTTCCTTAGTCCCTAATTAGCAAGGTTCTCATGGTTTAGCTCAAAAAAATAAATTCTTAATAAGACAGCTGAGTGGGAACCTGGTGTGCTAATGTTAGAAGCTATGAGTAGGATGAGCAACCCTAACTGGAAATCTGAAGTCCAGAATGCTTTCAGTGCTAACACAATGCCACAGTACAAGTTCAAAGGGCCATGCGACTCCATGTGATGCATCGCCTTCCAACCACAAATACAACTAAAAGTCTATACTGCTGTCTTCGACTAACCATATAGATAGACATAAACCACAGGTGAATTTTGTGCTTAGTCTTCAGTCCATCTGCAAGATATTTTCAAGAACATGTAAAAATTCCAAACTCTGAAAAATAGCCAAAACACTTGTCTTAAACATTTCAGATAATGGGTACTCTTAAGGGGTACTCAACCTGTAGTAAGTTCTTAGCTAATATCAGTCTGGTCAGACAACCTAAATTTATTGGTATATTCCTTTAATTTAATATTTAAAGGACTCTTAGGCTCCTGCTTAGAATGGCTGCAGCCAGAGGGATCCAGTCCATGGCTTGCAGGGTCCATGAAGCTGAAGAGAGCTTCGGATGATAGGTGTGAAACACAATCTCATGAAAAACTTAAAACATGACATTTTCTGTAGCATTGTTGTGTTTTCTTACAACTTGAGTGAGCAGTTCTCAAGTGTGAATGTTGTAGCTGACATTTTCATGTCTCTGTGTCAAAGTTGGACACCTTAGAAACCTAGATTAAAAATACATACTTTTTAAAGCATGTTTTGCTTGAAGTCTCAGGATTTGTCATCTAAGAACCATATTGTGACAGGTCAAGGTCAGTCTGGATACTTCTTTCTTTTAGATTAATATATAATTATAAGGAAGTCTTTCTGTCTGCCATCATGCTGAAGATTGTATGCATATAAAAATGGCACCCATTGACTTGTTCTTTGCTGTGCATCCATCTACTTCATATTATGCAGTTTTGAGAATTTCCAGTTTTGACTTAAGATTAATCTCACTTCTGAGCTCTGAGTTACTGCTGTCTTTGTGGTTTCTCACCACTAATTGGCAGTTGTACACAATTATTTGCCAGTTCCCAAAACACCCTTTTTAACCAAAAAGCTTGATTCTTGTTTACAGAGAGTTACACCAGATCCTTCAAAATACTGTGGACCCTATAAACCATCTGGTAGCTTGGAGTGGGCTATTTCTGCCCACAAACAAGTGGATATCCATAATCATGATACTATTGGTAATTCACTTTTTATGAAATTTATGTATTATTTTAATGACCTTCTATAGCTCATATTCATGTACCAGAAGTTAGCTAGCTTTCATTATTTTAAATGTCAAGTAAATACCCCCTTCTTATATGTATCTTTCTGTCACTATATGTACATGCACATATATAAGTATGTAATGAGCTTAAACACATGCAAATTCATGTTGTTATTGCATAAATGTAAATATAATTTTGTCTTATCCTATATATACAGTTTTGTAATTACTTATACAAGACACCAAATATCCAGTGACTATTAACATGTAGATTATCAAATTGTTAATATTTAATGCTTTGGTTATTTCATGTAATTTGCTATATATATAAAATGGCTTGTAATAATTTTTCTAAGCTTTAATATTGTCAAGTTCTCTTAATCAAAATGAATGATTGCGGGGGTTGCCTTTGAAAATGTACTGAAAGTACCTGGTAGATTTGAAGAGTAAGAATATGAGATATTATTTTTTTGTCCCATGACACTATGAACCAAGTCATTAACATAGTATAATATCACTGATATAGTTTTCAATATTCTTACATTTTCCTTTTATTCTACCTGTAATTAATGAGAGAACATACTTTATTTTCTTGATGGAGTTGGTATGTAAACTCACAGTACCATAGACTTGAAGGATTATAAACAACAGAAATTTCTCACAGTTGTAGATGGGGAAAATTCCAGGATGTAGACACTGGCAGATTCCTTTTGTGTTGAGGTCCCATTTCCTGGCTCATAGGTGGCATATCTAGTTTTCTCTGGTCTCCTATATTAATCATTACACTCATAGGTGGCATGTCTGGTTTTCTCAGTCTCTAGTATTACTTGGTAGGGCATTGTCCTAATAACCATCCCAGCTGCCCATGGTCCCCTCCTAACTCCATCACTTTGTGAAGATATATATTAGAGGGACACAACCCCTCAAACTACAGCAGTCATCAGCAGATCCATTATTTGGTTATATTTAAGGGAAGCATTGGATACTTACATTTTTTTTTTTTTTTTTAACTTCTAGGCATGGTTGTAATCCATAAGACGGGACATGTTGCTGCGGGCACATCCACAAATGGTTTAAAATTCAAAATACCTGGGTTAGTGTTTCACCAAGTCCAGATTTCTCAAATATGTATCAGATGCAAAGCATTATATTTCAGGGCTTGTGCAAGGTGCCTATATTTCAGAGATAAATGTGAGAGAAAGCTTGTTGTCATGGGTTAATGGCAAAAGCCAGCACTACAGCCAGTGTCTCAGAGTTCAACAGTGTCAGGGGTTAGTCTGGCACCTGAGTAGCTAGTGATGTCAGTGAAGTGTAGGTCCTGAAGACACAGGACTAAAGGGGGCATGCAGCCAATGGCACAAGTGTATACAAGTAGTACCCATCAGGTTGAGGGCTTCTCTGGCTGGAACACAAGTTGGAGTGCATGCGTGCGCATGCGCACATTGGCATGTGTACAGAGTAGTGTGTGGCAGTAGTGAAGATTAAGACTGCAAGTAACCGAAGCCTGATTTCAAGGGGTAAGCTTGGAAAGTTGTAGGTTTGTGTGGATTTGAAATTGTTTTGTTTTGTTTTTAAGTAGAAAACAGGCATTATATAGATTTATTAAAGGGGAAACTGGTAAAAGTTTGGCACTTTACATAGGAACAGTGTAAGAAAATAATTCAGAACGATTCAAGTACTGCTGAAATTGAGAAAGGTGTAATGATAGAACAGTCACTGAAAATCTGGGTGATCTGCTATGACAAACTGAAGACAAGTTTTTGCTTAACATTTTAATTGATAAGTAAAAGGATGTGGTTTTTGGAGTATAGCATGATATTTTCATAGATATAAATGTGAAATAGTTAAAACAGGCAATTCAACTTATGCATTGTTTCCCATGCCTTTCAAAATCTATACTCTTAGTGGGTTTTACACACAAAATGTATTATTATTAAATATAGTGTCATGTGTACAACAGATCTCCAGAACTTACCCTCCTGTTTTAAAATAAATTCCTTTTCTGCCAACCAACATCTCCCCAACCACCCTCTCTCTACTATTGGGAAATCAGTATTTTAATCTTTTTCTATTAATTCAGATTTGTTGCACTGCACATCTATCTGAAAACAGTCAAATAATTAACGTAGCTGTTTGAAAACTAATTGAAAAACAAACAAAAATGCAGTCTAGTGAAGAATTTACTTAAAACAGTAACCAGTGGTGGTGTGGAAACAGCCCCTAATTTTGAAATAGTTCGTAACATGATTTAGTTTACATTTGGTTTCCTATTCTAACATTTTGTGTTCTGTACAAAGTCGTGTAGGAGACTCACCAATACCTGGAGCCGGGGCCTATGCTGAAGACATGATTGGGGCAGCTGCAGCCACAGGGGATGGTGATATACTAATGCGCTTTCTGCCAAGGTGTGACTTCTTACCTTTGTAAACTTTAGAGATCCTTAGAAGACACGGTAATGTCGGACACAGATGATTTTTGTAGCGTGTTGTCTGGAATTCATGTGCACGAGAGTCTTTCATGAAAGTTTATGTAAGGCTTTTTTTTGGTTTGGGGTCGATGTTTTGCCAGTTAGTTTGTGGTCATTCCCTCGAGTCATCATTATTTTGGGAAATAAAATGTGTCTCACTGTGCTTCCCAGAGGAGAATGCCTACTATCTGCTTAGTTAGTTGATGCAAGGCCATAGTGCAGTGACTGAGAAAAGTAGACAGTGGAGTCACTGTGGTCAGTTGAAAACTACAACTGTATGTTTGGAACGTGCAGTATTCTCTTCTGAGATTACAGCTTCTTTCGTCATGCAAATACAACCTTTATTTGTGACTTCTGGCTCTTATTACTAAAGTGACAGTTACTCAGTCAAAGCCCAAAATAATAGTCCTCATCTGAAATTAATAGTGGATGAGTTGAATAGATGACATTGTAGCAGGGTTTGCTTGCCCTGATAGGAATTACAAACCTGTGACAGGAATTACTGACTGGTGTGCATTCATAGGTATTATACAAAATGTGGCAGTATGCTCGCTCGTTTCAGATTTTTCTCACATCAACTTAGCTTAATGTGGAGTTAGTGTTAGTGTTCTGATATTAAGCTGTCACCTCTGTTTAAATTAGCTACCAAGCTGTGGAATATATGAGAAGAGGAGACCACCCAACCACCGCTTGCCAAAAAGTGATTGCAAAAATTCAGAAGTATTTTCCAAAATTCTTTGGGGCTATTATATGTGCCAATGTGATGGGAAGTTATGGTAAGTTAGAACTATGTTTTATTTGTGTGAATTTACTAGTGATTATAAAAGACACACACTTCTGAATACCTGAGCACGTGATGGGCTGTGTTCTATCTAAACAGGTAGTTTGCAAAGTAGGTTCTGAGTGAATGTCAGTGATGAGCTGTTAGTACTGTAAAATGTTAAAAAATATGCTCAAAACCCTGATTTATTTGACTGCTGGTAGTCATGCTCTACTTTTGGGCTATCAGTTCTTTTGCATCTGTCCCTAAAAGTTTAGCTTTGGCTGGAACACGTGTTGACAGACTGATTTAGTCAAATGCCCTGATTAGAGATGGTGGGGACAAGTTAATCTGCTTTACTTCTTTCTCATTCATTGAAACATTTCAATCATTTCGGTCTTCTTGGCTCAGAAGAAGAAAAACTTTCACTAGCTAGTAAGCCAGAGAGGCGGGCAGAATTATTCTGGCAGTGCTTGGCATGTCTTCCATTCTGGTTGCTTTCCTTTCGAGCCAATCACAGCTGCAAAACATTTAAGGTCAACCACTGCTGACTCTTATCACTGCGCTTTCAAATAGAAAACCTGCACAGCTTCCGATCAATAGAGCTTATTAGGTTAGACTGCTCATTGCTGTTCTTTGATCTTTTGCTTCCCACAAGTTTGTATTTGAAGAGCTCGTTTAAAGAATTCCATATTCTTTTTTAAGTTGTGAGATTTAAGAGTCCAAGAAAGTTATGGGGGTGGCTTTGTGTATGAAATAAGGCTCTTTCTAATGATTACCTCTTAACAGATAAGCCATAGAAGGACCAAATTTACATTTAGCAGGGTAGGAAGATACTAATTATCTTACTCTATGAATTAAAAATTAACTATTTCCTAACAATGGTAGAAGGACCTCTCCCCTTGCAGGTGTATGAAGAGAAGCTAAACATAGACAGAAAGCATATTGACAAATAGCTCTTCTTGCTTTCTGTGAGGTTAAAAGAGCAGGGAGGGAGGGAAACAGTCGTGTAGGGGAAGGGGTTATAGATAAGAGAATGTTCTAATTGCTAGGGAAATAAGAATTTTGAGAATTTCTTCTAAGAAAGGATTGCAAGAGTAAAATAATTAGTGACAGCAGGTGTATGGGGGTGCGAGGAAAATCAGCTAGTTGTCTGGTTTTCAAGGGGTAAGTTAAGGGCTGGAGAAATGACTTGGAAATTAAGAGCACTTGTTCTTGCATGTTTGGTTCCCAGCACCCACAAGGTGGCTCACAGCCATCTGTACTCCAGTTTCAGGGTGTCTGCGTTCTTCTGACTTCCTTGACACCAGGCACATACATGCAGGCAAATACACAAATACCGTAAAATTTTAAAGACTTTATTACCACCTTGTTCTCTTCTGTGATCATTAACTACCACTATGAAGGGCAACATGTAGATTATATATGTAGATATGTTATGTTGATGCAGGCATGCAACAGCCAGTGTCTAGGCAGATGATATCTTTATTGGTTCTGGATACATGCCTCCAATAATACTTAATTGTCTCTTTTTTTTTGGCTTAAGGTGCTGCTTGCAACAAACATCCAACATTTACTCAATTTAGTTTCATGGTTTATAATTCTCTACGAATTCAGCCAACTGAAGAAAAAGTAGACTGCATCTAATCTACCGTGTCTGTTAGCATGTGTTTTTAAAGAGGAGAGAAACTAAAGCTAGGAAAGTTGCTGACTGGCATCATGTAGTAGCCTTCATATATTTCAAGTTCATGTGTAAGCTAACTGTAAAAATAAATTATGCAGCAGTGACATTTCTGTATCTACATTCGTGTTTATTTATTTTTGTTTAAGGTCTGTTTCCCACTTGAGAATGAATATGTATGCATATATGATGTGAATTTTTAAGCTTTAAATGATACTTGAATTTCTAATCAATGTGGCAAGAAACAACTACACTTGGGATATATTTTCACAATCCCATTGTAAATACAGTATGTGTATTTGAGTACTCAGCGCATACAAGCATGCCAGGTCCAGGGGACATAGTAACACTACTGCAGCAGAGTCAACATAGCTGAGTTTCTGGAATTACAGTGATATGCCCCTTACAGCTGACCATTAGGTTTTCCCTAATGTTCTGTAAGCTCAAAGCAGGAATAGTGCTGTTCAAATATATGACTTTTCTTCTGTACATTATGGTAAGCGTTAGTTGGTTTTCTTTGAATTTCTCTTTGATGGAACACTCAGTAGATGAAAGTTATTAATCCATCGACATCTCTGATCTTTGGGCAACTCATATTCAATATCGATCATTTCTTTTGAAAATCACTTAGGGAATTCCTTTTTTTTTAATTTTACTAATCTCTTGTGCTGAGGTAGGGGTTGCAATTAGAAAACATTAATAAGTGTGCTGATTAGCTTGGCTTTCTTCCAAATTTCCGTATCAACTATATGAATGACAAGTACAGAGACATTTGTATTTCTTAATATCTCAAGATTATTATTTACTCCAAAATCATCATTTCTTTAATCTGTAGGCATTAATAAGATATGTTGTATTGTTGTCAAATCTTACTACTGTTTTGTTTTTAATATACACAACTTGGTATTTACTATTTGTTACCTGTGGAGAATAATCCATGTTATTTATTCTCCCAACATCCTACCTATCACAATTATTTGGGAAGCCATGTTCAAAATAGCCTCTACCAGTACAGAATTTTGTGGACTTAAATTTGAACCCAATTTAATAACAATGTTTCAACTACATGAAACACTAAATAATTTTAGCCCAGTTTAGTAACAGTACTTTTATAAAGGAAGAGTTTGACATCAGAAAAGGGAAATAACTAGGCTATTTCCCCAGAGGATTCAGGTGAACTCTACTCAAGTGTTTTGTATGTCCAATGTAGTAGATAATGAGAAAACTATTAACCTCAGTCTGTCATTAAAATTTTGATAATTTCACATTCTTATTTATTTACATTGACTCATATTGGGATAATTTTCTATGACTATTTCACTGATGACTTCTTATGGGTTGATTCTTCTTTCTGCTAGCCACAGTATGAGATAGTCCCTAGGAGTCCTGTCCACAGAACATTGTCAGCCCCACTCCCCCAAAGTGGTGGCTTTACTCTTGTGACCTCTGATTTGCTGCAAGTGAGTACCTAGTTCTGGCAATGAGTTTTAAGTGAATTTGGAATGGGAGACCTTCCCAGGTCCTTCCGTATTTTGTCAAGTATGACAACATACTGATTGCTCCTCTAAACTACCTGTGTCCTTGAAAACCATAATGAGCAGACATCTGTGACAGTACCCAGGGGACATAAATTAGGATCCAGTACAGACTATCCTGACTAAGATGTAAAACATACCAATCAGTTAAGCAGTTTTGTGGACATTACTAAAATAATAAGACTATTCAAAACCTCAAAATGAATTTTTTTTCCTAGTTAGACATAGGAAGGTGCTGATAAAAAATTGATTTAAAAAATGTTTTTAAATTATTGAGGCAGTTGCAGATAATGTTTTCCTAAGGAATATTTCATTTTAAAAAGAAGAAGCAGCAGCCCATACGCCCGTATTCAGTGATTCCTGACGATGTGGCAGAAACAGACATTCACACCTGTATGGTACTGCCATGTATTCAGGAACTGTGTCCCAGAGTGTTTCTAGAGCAAAATTTTGACAAGACTGAGATGTCTCCCTCCTGTGAAAGGGCATATTTGTTTGTGTCTGATACCACACTGTTTCTCTTCAAAACAAACAACAGGTGGGTTTATCTGCAGCCCCTAACAAAAGATTGAGATTTCCTAAGACTGTTCATGTGTGATGCTTACTCTGGGAGGATCTTTCTGGAATAAGTACTCTGACACCAGTGAGAGTGGGAGAGAGGAGGTGCCACTGGTGGACCGAAACCAGGCTAGTTTCCAAAAGGCCTGCATCCCAGGTCCTGTTTGTATCTCATTTTGTACTCAAAAACCACAAGGAGGGGTGGGCAAGCCAGGCCCTTGTCTCTGACATGTCTTCCGTCCTTTTCTGTCAGCTTTACGGAGAGTGTAACAGGCTGACTTGTTTGTGAGTAAGATTGTTAATTTTGACTAACTTATTTAGGTTGAGAAGAGCCAGGAGATAATGAAAATAGCCCTTATTTACAAAGCCCATCTAAATCATCTAAAGAAAATAATCAGATAGTGACTGATATTAGTTTTAACAGGGGCCACAGAATACTTCATACTAAATATTAGATACTTTATGTAATTCACATTTTCTCCTTTTTCAGAAAATTCTTAGTAGAGCTTGACTTATTAGAAATATACATTTGTACTATTAGTACAAAAACATCAAAACACCTATTTTCAAAATCAACGCTCAAGTGATTTCATTTAACTTTAGAGGGGAAATTGTAGGTACAATGTGTTTTAGTTGATATTTTGTACCCAGGCAATATACTTCCAAAGCCCATAATTTTAAATTGTTTAACTTCTTTTTCAAATGTTCTGATGTTCAGTGATTGAATTTAGATCAAAGACCCAATTAAGCTAGTATCTTTAACAGTACAATTAAAATTGATTGGAATATATCTATTGGTAACATATATCTTAATTGGATAGCAATTCTAAAAATAACAAATTTATGCCATTTTGCTGATCAGTTTTTGGTTAAGATCCAAGGTTTCTTGTTTGTTTTCTTGAGTATTAAACTTGTTACATATCATGTAGTAAGCTTTCAACTATCTTACACAATTAAAAGATGAGGTGATAAGGTGCTCAAAAGTATAAATTGTGATTAATAAGTGTCCAATGATAAGTGTTTTCTTATATAATCTAGGGTCAGCAGTTTTTTTTTTTTTAAAGTCATATTTTAGGTCTCAGAAAATCACATCTACTTAAAGGATAAAAAATGACCACATTCAGGATGGATATAATGGAAATTGGGACTGCTGTGCTCAACCTATTTGCCTCTGAGTTAAAGGGAAGGAAGTTATTTATGGTTCCAATGCACGAATACTGCATTAAGAATTGGTCATTTGATTTAAACTTAAGACCTTTCTGAGTGGTGCATTAGATGTGTTTGCTCATTTATTTTCTCTAATTAACATCTATTTTCTGTAATGTGAATGGTGACATATAATATTTTTAAGAAAATCAGATCTGAGAAAGAATGTAAGCAAACAAAGTTCCTTCTAATTGCTTGTAATCGATCTCATTTCTTTCTGACTTGTGCAAGACCCTTGAGCACCGTAAATGTCAAAATACTCCTTTCCATTTCTAAATAAACCCTGCATTTTCCCCTTTTCTTGTTCTGTTCATTGTAATTAGGGCTGATTGAAAATAAAACCAAAGTTCTAGTACAATAACTATCAGACTTCCCAAGCTAACTCAGTTTCCTTCAGTGAGGCTGAAGCAGTGTAGTACATGGTAGTGCTATATACATTGCATATATCAGCAGACATTAAATTGGGGTTTATTTTCCCACTAGAGAGACAGTTTTAAGACAATGTAGTATAGTAGACATATGCAGAGGTGCACACACTGCCTTCGACCAACTCTGGAACTTAAATTACTTGAATTCAAGCCCTGATGATCTCTATCAGTGATTAACTATGTGAGCTTGGTTTGACTGTGTCTCAGTTTTCTATACTGAGGGAATAAAGATAATGCACCTACTGCCATAGTCTGATGTTGGTATCCCTGCATCCCTAATTCATTTGAGGAGCCTGGTACTCAAGGTGATAACAAGGAGGTGGAGCCTCTGGGAAGTGGTTAAATCATGAGGGCGCTAACCTCTGGGATGGGATTAGTGAGTGCCCTTATAATAAAAGTCTCAGACAAGATCCCTTCTCATTCTTCAACAAAGTGAGGACATAGAGAAGGCTCTGTCTTTGAAACACAGAAAGCCATCCCCTCAGACATAATATATTGTCTAGCAGTCCAATATTTAAAATATTTCAGTCTGCTTTCACCTTTCCTTTTCGACATCTTAATAATGCAAAACTTATAAAAAGACAAGAAAAATAAGTGGTATGGAAATGGCAAAAAGCTGTGTTACTTTGAAATGAAATGCACAATTCTGTAGAAAATCTGAAAGAGTCAACAAAATACCTCCTAGAACCAAAGATGGTTATGACACAACAGTAGCCCTCAAGACTGCACTCCAGGCATCTTCTCTCTTTCATTCCATCCAGGCCCTCAGCCTGCAGATACTGCTCAAAGGCAAAGTGAGTCTTCTACTTCATCTAGTTGATGTTATGCACCATACATCATACCTTATCAACTTGATATCCAAGTACATGTCCTTAAACTATAGCAATCTACCACTTGTCCGAAAAAGACTGGTCTTTCATCTCCTAATGTGAAATCCATCCTGTTTTGATGGCTCAAACTTCTGAGAGTTTTAATAACAACAAAAATTCAGGTCCAAAGTTTGCTCTGAGACTTAAGGCCAACTCTTCACTTGTAATCCCCTATAAAATTAGGCACCGGGCCAGCCAGATGTGTTCAGCTGGTAAAGAGACCCTTACTACCAAGCCTGATGGCCTGAGGTCAGCCTCTAAAACCTACATGGTAGAACTAGAGAACTAAGTCCCGAATGTTGTCCTCTGGGTTCCAAATGTCATGGCACAAATGGGTACCACCTCAAACACAACATTAATTGACTGATGATTGATTGATTAAAGCACAGTCCAAAAGGGAGAAATAGAGTAGCCAGGGAGGATCAGAGCATAGCAAACCGAAACTCAGTAGGAAAGATACTGAGGTCCTTTGGCTCCTTGACAAGCATCTGGGGAACACTTATATGCTGCAAGCCTTTGAGACCT